TTCTGAAATAGAAGAAATTGTTTAGATCAGATCACTATATAATATAGCTGTCATACAAATTGAACGATTGGAATCAAGTTCTTGTAAGGAACCTTTGTATTTGTGAAGGGTATTATAGCTTCTGTGCAATCGATGTTAACGTTTTTTCTTGTTTTCTTATTATCAGAAAATTCAAATCTCGCTCATCAATGCATATCATACAGGTATATGGTATATATGGTATTTGTACTTATATATCATCACCAAATATATAGAGAAATACAGAGCATTACTTTGGCGTTATGGGTATTCGGCTTTGCTGTTTATTTGGCTGGGTGCCGCCAGGCTTCAGATATGATTTTTTCGACATGCAAAATCGAGTAATGCTTCCACGTTCTTATTTTCAAACTTTTTTGGCTGCCAAGGACGTTCTTCATCTTCCAAGCCAAAATTACTACTTTTAAATCGTGCAACCCACTTTCGGCACATTCGCTCAACTTAGGTATGCTCATCACCGAAATACGATGATCTTCCGGGTAAAACTGCACAAATATAGTTAGAGATCTTATATATTTTATAATATACAAAGTAACAATGATATAAGGCATTGTTTAATAAAAACGAAAACGATTTACCAAGCACAAAAGTTCTTAATTACATTAAAAATCAAAATCTAACATATGAATTTCGTGACTCAAAAATGCTCTCTTAGGTGTTAGGCTCTAGGTGTTTTGTAAAAAGTCAAAAGCAAATGTTGTCTATACTAATCTAAAAATTCCATTAATCTTTCACAAACACTGAGTTGGAAATGAGACAAGCAACAGAAGTTGAAAAGTTCACAGGCCCGTGACATGTTTTGCCCACCCACCACAATCGCAACATTATGCGCACAACGACCAAAAACTGCAGAGGTCATGGAACAAGTGCAACCGAATCTGGCATCACATGCTAAATGAAAGGTCAGGCAAACCATAATCAAGTGCATGTGTATATGTACATATGTGTAGACTTCTCCACTGTCCATCAAATGCAACGGGTCGGCTATGACTATGTGCAGAGGCAGTTGAGTGCTACGGGTCTAAATGAATAACAGCAAAAAATAAAAACATTAGCAATTTCCCAGAACGTTAAACAATTTATCTTCTCTACTAGAGATGAATGCTAGTGAAATAGAACCTTTTCTACCTTCAATGAGAGTATAATCTCAGGGCTGGTGGAAAGGGTGGTACTACTCCTGGTAAATGAATACTAATATGTAGTATCTTAGATATAAATATATACATATATGTTTGTATACCGATTAGTAAAGAACAGCCCAGCTAAAGATGGGGTGTAACTTTGGGCGTGGCAAAGCAGCCACATTACATGTAGTGGGAAAAATATGAATCACTCTCAATCAGTTGCTCGCAGGACTTCTTGGAGATACAAAACTGCAAACGCTGCCTGTGAGCTAGCATCAATGGCGTTTTCTACCCATCGCGATTGCCTGCCTTGTCAAAATTCTTATGTGCTTGAACGAGCATCCAGTTTAGACTTGTGGTGGGAAAAATGTGGGAAAATGGCCTTCATTACATACTCATTACACTTAATAGATCGTAAGCGTGTGAAGCACAGCAGGCACTCTTTAAGCATTTAATTTTTTACTCAAGTGATATTCTTAGACTTTTACATGCCCTGAAATATTATATATGAGTCCATACAGACGACAGCACATAAGTAATGTAATAATTCTATTTAACAAATTCATCAATTACAGCATTTAATATTTCATGTATCTAACATATGTATCGTGCCTCTTCATTGCGTATGATACCTTCACTCATGCTTTTCTCCGCTCTTTATTTAACGTGAATAATTTAGTTTTTTGCTGCTCGACTTTCCCATATCACAGCACGAAGTGTCACTCAATGCTGACACTGAGGTCATCCATTAATTTGTTTTGGTTTTTATTTTCATGTGTCACTTACTACTCTTCTTTATCCGAAATGTAGTCCATCGCAAGGGTCTGTTAAGATTTGTTTATGGAGAAAAGAGAATGTGATTAAGCGAAAGATCATTAACAGAAGTGTATTTCTGTTTTCATAGTTAGAGATTATGGCAAAGCTTTCTTAGAGGCCAAATATTAAGGAGAGAGTAAGGAAGGCATCACTTGAACGTATCCAAAGAGCGGCTCTCATTGGTATCTCTGGTGGATAGTGAACTACACCAACTATAACACTTAATGCCATTTTACACATAGCATCCGTTACAATTTCCGGGAGGCTACACGGTGGCTTTTTCTCTGATCAAATACCGACGAGCGTTATGTGGACAGGGAGAAGCCACGGGAGAAGAAGCTTTTTCACGGATGGGTCGAAGCTATGAGAAAAGATCAGAGGGAGAGTTTTCTGTAAGTAGCCTTCCGTCAAGCTTAGCTTTAGGCTACCGGACCCCTGTAGTATATTTCAGGTAAAAGTGGCTGCTATTAATGCAGAAGTAGAGTAGTCTTTAAGTTCAGCCTCTTTCAGGGAAAGGAGCATTCACTCTGACCGCAGAGCTGCAATACTAGCGCTGAGCTTGCTAATTGTGCGCTCAAAGTTAGTCTGTCTTCACAAGAAATAGCTTTAAGCTACTTCATTATCAAACTCGTTTAGGTGCCTGGTCATAGCGGAATCGCTGGTAACAGTAAATATTGGCTAGCAATAGGGTGCATGTTTGCTCCGCTGACATCGCAGTGGGTACGAGTTGCATTTCCGTTGCCATCTTGTGTTCTAGTACGGGACCTATGAACCTCGTGGCGCTTAGCAGGCGTTGGTCGAGGATCAGGTTTTTGTCGACTGTGAGATCCTTTTGGCCTAAAATACAATGAAGGAGATCTACTGAACAACTTGCTCTTAGGAGTTCTTACTGGACATTGTCCATTTGCAAGATTGAGGTTGAAACATCTCAGCGAACCAGGAGACATAGCCGAAAATGGCATTAGCCGCCTTAACAAATTTGTGATTGGCCCAATCGCTTTGTCAATTATGAGGACCTTATGATCAATTATATGGAAGTTTTAGGTCCGCAATGGACCAGCGTTCAAGTCCAAGTGAGAAACCTGTTAGGATCGACCTCTTAATTGAACCTTACCTAACCTAGATTACGACCAAGGGGAAAAAGAAAGGGAGAATTAAATATAAATTGCTTTTGCATCTGAAAGGGTCTGTTAGCAATGGTAGCAGGAGAAATTCGTTTTTAATTCATTTCACCTCTTTTTTAATGAATATTTTAAAAACTCTAATTTGTAATATTTCAGAAACCCAATAACTGAACATATTATTATTTTATTATTTATTTCAGGAAAGCCTTTGTAAATTCAAGATTATAGTGTTGAATGAAAGGGGGCATTTATTACCATAACAATTAATTACACTTTATTGCAACATTTAAAAGTTCTCCTCTGTAAGTAGTGTTAAAAATAGCGCATTCATTTTACCAAATTTTCTATTGCGCTATATGTAAATCGGTTCCGGCGTATTCCCTGATGGTGGTTTTAAGAATTTATGGGAATATAAATTAAACTAAACTACTTATATAGTACGTTTAATCTATATTTGGAACTAGTATAAAACTTGAGTATTTGTAAACGAAGTATATCTGTAAAAAGGATACTTTCATGACCGTAGACCGCCTGCCATTGAACAATCCGCTTGAAGCTGTTGAGCCTAGTTTGCGTTGTTAGAAGATGACCAATTGGCGGTAGGCTTTTATGTTGAGATCATCTGAAATAAGTCGAGACATTGACCGAATTGATATATCCATTAACCTTGACATCATTTTCTGTTTTGGAAGGAGATCTGCGTATACGTTAACGAATAGTTTTTATGGCTGAACTGGTTCGTACCGTTTAAGTAAAACGATCAATAGTTCTGTAAACAAACATTCTCGAAATATTAAGTTTTTGAGAAGCTTTAATCGCCTTTTTTCAGCGAATTTGTCCATGCTGTATGCATTGTAAACTTTGTAACAGAATTTATGACAATACTGAGTACTATATCGGAATGTAAGTTATTAAAACTATTATATTTGTTTCAATTGCAAATTATTTGAGATTAATTTAAGAATCAGTAGTATTTTTAACTTCCCTTTTCAGAGTAAAGGGAAACTAGAAAAATTTATACTTTTTTTTCGAATTTGGAACTGAGGCTATATTATATTTGGTTATCTTAAGAAGTCAATCGAATTCCAATCATAAAAAATGGAAGACTTCTCAGACTGATGAAACTTTTAACTAAGCACTCTCTTAAAAATGTAGGCAACATATTATACTTATGTGACAAAAGCAGTATACTTAACATACAATTTTTTGCCAACCCTATCAAACGACAAAAACCAAAGCAACTTGCTCGAAATATTGTTCCTTGTTACGACTGGTGTATCCCAATGCACTAGGCTAAATATCATATATATGTAAGCTTATAAATTTGCCCTATCTAAACTCAAAACCCTTTTTATAGTATTGATAAAGCAAATATTTTTTTAAGGAGTCATTTTAGTACAAATGAAGTAGAGGCGATAAAAACGTGCTTTACGGTGCACATCACTCAATTGCTTTAATGACAGTTGTTTGGCAACAATTAACGGATTTCTGGTTTTAAGAGCACCTAAAATTTTGTTTCTTAAGGCTATAAATGGTGCCGAATTGAAAGTTTTACTACTTGCCAAAAAAAAATTTTATGTTACATTGTCAAATCAAAGGCTAATCGTCGATCAAAACATATGTTGCACACAGCAATAAAAAAGTCGTAAAACTAATTCGTCACTAATATTATATTTACACAACAACACAAATATATTGATCGAAACTGTGTTACAAACAATCGCTGTGCTTTAGCAATTTGCTAAGTTTATTAGGGCGAAAACAAATTCCCCATGTTCACCGTAAAGGCGAGCAACAAATATGGCAACACTCGCTCGTTAAATTCTAGAAATAATAAATATAATATATGTATGTATTTGCTACTTTGTAAATATTTGCTTATCGCTGCGTATAAACTTACCCACAGACATTTTGTCAGCCTTCCGCAAAGAAGGGCACGACAAACTCTCCGCCGTTTGTCGTTTACAAAATTTTGGCAGAGCACTTGTTGCTCCACCCACTAGCTGCGTTTGTGCGTGTGTTTACGCTTTTAATAGCCAGCTCCACTATGCGTTCAGTTCGCCGCCAATATGAAGATGGCCAAAAACGAATTTCCGCCGGATGTGCCGTTAAACGGTGTAAAGACAGTTGCGTGTAGCGCGTTTATAATTACAAATTAATAAAAACAATAAGAAAGAGAGCTGCAAGTACAAGAAAACCAACAGAGAACATTAACTTGAATATTCAATAATTTTATGAAAGCTTATCAAATACGTAATATAAACAAAGTAGATTCACACGCACGCGCACAGACACACACTCATTCATTACACTAAACTACAAGTAAAGCAGAAACAAGAGAAATAAAAGACAACTTGGAATATAAACCCCCAAACCGCGTAAGGAAGTGCCGTGAATGAAAACTGAAATTATTAAAATTATTTTAGAAAATACTCGACTGGGAGCCTAGAAACGCATAAACACACATGAACACATATATGAGTACACGTACTATGTTGTTGGCAGTTCTTGAGTTCACTTGATGCATTACACCTGTTGCCGTGGCCGTCAAGTCTTCATGCCATTGGTCCCACTACGCAAGTACGATTGTGTCTCGCAGGTTAATGGCACCTATTGTGCATATTAAATGAGTTTTCCCCCTAACCCTACCAATAGAACCGTTTAGTAACGGAAGCAGACACTTTTCCATCATAATCGTTAGACTTGTAGAAGCACTGCCAGAGTTGGCGGGTAAAGTAAAATGGAAGAGCATTAGGCAACATTGACTAAAGCTGATCGCCAACGACAGAGAAAACCCACACCACAAAAGGAATGAAACACAAACCTCTCAATTGCGAATAAACACTTAAGGAAAAAAGCAAAGGGATATACAATACTAAATGACGTATATATGTGAGTCCATTGAGTTCTAAGTACAGGTCACCAGGTGGGTGTCTGCGCCGTTTTGTGTTGCATTCGAATGATGTCTATTGGTATTCTACAATACATTTATCAGCGGTTACTACGCACTTCGGTAAATTATGAGTTTCCTACAGATAAGTACAATATTTATAATATTTTATTTCCTAAACGAATTTTATTTTTTAAACGATAAATTATTTTCGTACTTAAGGCACAATAGATAAATTTAAGAATTGTCAATGCACTAACGCTCTTAGAGAGACTATTTCGGACCATACATATTATTTTAGTCTAACTCGAAGCTATTTTCTGAGGTGGATCCTCAGTATCATGGGAACACAAGATTATCAAAATTCTTGGATATGTTTAATGTAGTAAAAGTTTGAGTCCAGAATTATTAGATAGAGTCATTGGAAAACTTGTTCAGTACTATGTTTTTGTGAATGTGACTTATGTAAGGCAATGTACAGAAATGAAAGTAAGCAGAATTACGTTTACCATGTAAGACAGGCTATTTTCTTTTATTTAGTCTTCAGACCCTAGAAATAATGAAAAAGTTAAAATTTTGAACGGACTCTATTATATTGAAAAGGGCTTAGTAAATACTGAACAATATTAAAAATATTCGTTGGAAAAGTTGTGAAAAGTGTAACAAAAAAATGATTTTAATATTCTGTAGTCACCTTTTGACAAAGGGAAGGGCACCTTCAGTATTATAAACCGTTGTATTAACATGATGGTTAAAATATTGTTAAGGACGTCTGCTTTTTGTTACGTAAAGAGCAAATTGCACAGGTCTTCGGGAAAAGCACATCATTTTAAGATTTTTAAGAATTCAGGACGCCAAGTAACTAGGTAAATTGTTTTGGGTAATCACCAGTATTAAGGTGCAAAAGATTCTATCGAGCATCCCAAAAATATCTCAAGCTGCTTGCATCTTCAAACCATATAGCTGAATGAATTAAGTTAACACTAGAGTTTGAAATTGACTCCGTATAGATAAAAAAAAACTATATTAACTAAAATAACTTGGGTAACATTACTGTCAAAGTAAGCAACATCATTCGTTTTAATCGACATGAGTTAGAAATTATTTCTTTGTCCATACTTCAAAGATTATTCACAAATTTTTGGGGTATATGTCAGCAACGCATTATAAACCACGTTAAATACTTCTGTGATACAAATTTCAATTTAATTTTTTTCACCACCACCAAAAAAGGAATGTTATCGGGTGTGTCGATTTTTCCTATTGTTTTATAATAATACATGAAATAATGTCTAACGGCACCGCAACATACTCGTTTAATTATGTAAACGTTGAGCAATTAAAATCGGAATTAAATTGTTAAAAACCACAATGAGCACTTAAAGTGGCAGGGTTGAAGTTTCATAGTTGCCTGCATAATTTCTACACCAGTTTTTCACATATGATTCCCCTCCGGGATCATGCCTGCCTGTGGTTGTCACGTATCGTGCTAATGATCTGTAGCGTCATTTAAACAAAATTAGCCTACCTTATAGGTGAATGATACAAAAAGAGAAAATTTTGTAAATGGTTCATAAATCAGTGATTAATATGCTGACGACGTGCCCCTTACGAACCGTAAAACATTTTCTCGGCTCTTTTTTGCTGTGTTTCAATTAAATTTGCACCTCAGATCTATAATTATTTATTGTTAAAACTTTATATATGAAAACTCCGCAAGTTATACACACTGTGTGCGGAGGTATGCTTTTATATTGATTTTTCATACTTCAGTTTGTTATTTGTATAAACAAGCAAAATTAAAAAAAAATTATAATAAATAAAATTTAAAATGATTTACTCGTAACTCATGACAGTGTGGTCCGAACACGTGTGAGCAATTTCAAGTTCACACTATCTTTGGTGTTATTGTCTCTTAATTGTTTTTTGATTTGTTACTCTTTATTGTAGGATGATCAATACTATACTATTGTGAAATGCTGATACTGCCATTATTTGCAGTGAGATGTGCCACTTAGTTGACGCTTTATCATTACGACATGTTTCCTTATTTTTTACTTTTTTAATTGACTAATTGTTTTTCCGATGGGTAAATTATATGCAACGAATGTTGCTGCTAAAAGAAAAGCCATCGCCTATGTTGAAACTCGTGGTCGCTACAGCCTAAATTTTGAGGAAATGCTATTGATTCAAATAATAATATGAACAAAATAAAGGAGTTTAAAACACTGCCACAAAAAATGTTCATACTTCCCGAAAAATATTGGCTGAGGGTATAAAACTTAAAATAACGTTAGTCTGCTCCTTGCATTTAGAACTTGTATAACATTGATATACGCCATAAGCGCTGAAGAAGTGATATCAAATGTATGGTCGAGGGAATATTTATTTAATAAAATCTAATATGAATTAAACTACCGTCCTCTTATTATATCCTGAACAGGGTATTTTAAGTTTATCGCATTTGTAACACCCAGAAGGATCCGTCGGTGACCTTATAATATATATATAATATTAATCATCGAAAATCCCTTAATTGTTTTTCAAAATGTTCTCCATTAAGATCTATACACTTTTGCATGCTCTTAGTTTATTTTTGTGAAGTCAGGACTATACGGTGGACGACTCATCAAATCGATGTTTTGGGTGCTCTAAAATGCAGTTGTTTCGATGTGTGGGAGTTCGCCTTCGGCTGTTGGCAACAACTGACACACAAATGGTTGTATACCACTCAGAATTTCCTGTTTTGCGTTGTTCTAGTGGTATGGTTGCGTCATGTCCAGTTTTTCCAAAAAATCAGGAAACCATTTGTTTCGAAGTGCTTCGTGCGCGAACCACTTTTGTTAGTGTTGAGTTGTTAGCTGAGTTGATTTAGCCATGTCCGTCTGTCTGTATATATACGAACTAGTCTCTCAGTTTTTGAGATATCGATATTAAATTTAGCATATGAATGTCCGATTTCGGACCATTATAGCCGCAATACAGACTGAACGATCGAAATCAAATGCTTGCACGGAAAACTTTTTCATTTGACGAGATATATTAACGAAATTTGGAGCGGATCATTATCTAAGGCAATAATGGAATCTCCATAGAAATCGTTCAGATCGAATCACAATAGCATACTGCTGTCATACAAGCTGAACGATTGGAATCACGTTCTTCTGAGGAACCTTTTGTGTTTTTGTAGGGTATTATAGCTTCGGTACAACCGGATATTGTTAAATTTGTGTGTTTGTCTAGGGACTTCGAAATAAAAATATTGACGGTGTCCTGCACTACATCGACACTATACGGGTATAATCTGTACCACGCCGAAATTATAATGTAATTCACGTCTGAAATGACCCTCGTCATTGTCATATTTTCTTCGCTACTACGCACTTATACCAGACATTCCCTCGAGTGCATACGATCTCAAAAAATATATATATACATGCATATGTAGTGGTTGAATGTTTTATTTAATGCTTTTTATTTCAATTAAGCTTCTTTTTTTTGTCTATTTACGATTATTATTCCATTTAAGAAGACGGTGACATTCACTTACATCGCCAAAGTGGTTTGCCGTCTCGGACATTTCACCGCTGCCACAACTTTGCTCGCTATGCATCTTAGCGTGTAGATGTGTTGGTGAATCGCGAAAACTTGTAAGTTTTACTCGCTTTCATATGCATGTGTGTATGTGTGTGCTGCAATGTGGAGCAACAATTGAGCACATTATTTAATGTTTTTATGCTGATTAGTTTTGTGCTGTTGCATTCCATTTTATCTTTTGACATAAACACATACATATATGTATAAGGCTGACTTCTGCAACGGTATGTAAACATGTATATTACTTGTACGAATGCATACTCGTATATGTGTGTACATAGATACAGTTTACCGGAAATTCCAATTTAGGTAAATACGTCGTTGAAATTGTTTTTGGGATTTATACGCCAAGGGGCAGCTCGTATGGTCCAGCCGCTGTGATATTATCTCAGACTGGGATTAAGAGCAACCGAAACCGTGGCATAGAGGTTGTGGTTTGCCCCTAAGTACACAGGCTAATATACATATGCCCATACACACACGCACACATAGGTCGATATGTATGCATGTATGTAGAAGAAAAAAATTTAATATTGTGGCATGTAGCGGATTAAGCGTAACACAGCGACGTCGTGACGTCGTCAGCAATCAGCGTTGCTGGAAAGCACCGAGGGTCTTCATTCGTGCGACGCGACGCCACAGTGACAAGATCAAGTAGGTAGGTACAAACAATTGGAGACAAATTTTTATGGG